GCGAACTAAGCCGGGCAGTGGTGGCGCACGCCTTTAATCCCAGCACTTGGGAGGCAGAGCCAGGTGGATCTCTGTGAGTTCGAGGCCAGCCTGGGCTACCAAGTGAGTTCCAGGAAAAGGCGCAAAGCTACACAGAGAAACCCTGTCTCGAAAAAAACCAAAAAAAAAAAAAAAAAAAAGAAAGCGAACTAAGACAGAAGTCCCTTGTCAACTTGACACAAAACCAGAGTCATCTTGGAGGAGGGAAATGGCATTGAAAAAAATACCTCCACTACATTGGTCTGTCGGCAAGTCTGTGGATTGTTTTCTTGATTGAAGTTTCTCTTTCCAAGATGACTTTGCCTTGTGTCAAACTGACAAAAGAAAACAGGCAGCAAATCCAGGATATTTTTGTTTGCACAGACAGAGGTTTCACAGAAAAGAAATTTTAAGAATCTAAAGAAGTAATATAACATCAAGACTTATATTATTTTAACAAAGAACAGGAAATTTTGGAGTAGTAGACAAAGGAAGGGGACTGGGCCTTTAAGGGATTGACACAAGAACACAGTGACTAGGAAATACCCAAAGACAGCTGTTATTTCCAGTAAGATCCATTTGTGCAGACTCACTGGAATATGGTTCTCCAGTCTCCAGTGATAAATGTCCTTGTCCTCATCCAGGTACAGGAAAGGGGGCAGATTTATGCCTCTCCTGCTAGGCAAACAGCAGAAGACCATAGAACACTTTATCTGCTCCTTTTCCCTTGCCTTTACATCCAAATAATCAATAACGCCAATGTGGTATGCACATTTTGGAATGTTGAACCATGATACGCTTCAAAAGCATTAGTTGTTCATTTTACTAGTTTGGAAATTTTACCACTGCTTTGTGGGATATAGTTATGCGTAACTAACATGGGAGAGATAAGATCTTTTTATTGTTTAGCAACAGCAAAAAAAAATAATAGAAACCAAGGATAAGGCAGGCAATGATAATGGCCTTCACCAAACAATAACGTGTAATTTTCCCTCTGATAAAGTATTGCATTTAGATCTGTTTCTGTTTTCTTTATCTCTTTGAAAGCTTTAAAAAAAAAAGGAAGTATTTTTGTGAATCTTGATAACAGGTAAGTTTTCAATGCAACTCCATAAATTCGAGCCAAGACAATTCAAGCAGATCTTGAGAATTTTCAGACTGTTATAATTTGAGATTAGTTGATAAGAGGATCCTGGAGCAGCTAAGACACCATGTTATTGGAACTATTTGTTTCTAATGTGCTGAGATGGAATCCAGGGTTCGTGTATGCAAGACACACACTTTATTACTGCCCAGCATGTGCAACCCTGAATGTCTTTTTATTAATCTCACACACGAAATACCACTTCCTAATTTAAAATTGATTTCTTGTTTAACCCACTAGTGTAGGAACATCAGGATGCCTTGGGCCTTAGATATTCATTAAATTTGATACTACAGGATGGGTTTTTATTAAAGGGTGTAAAATGCATTGATGAAACAGTGCCTGGGTTTTTCTATCACTTTCACAAAGCGAGGATGCTAATGGTTACATTGCCCAGACTCACTTCAAATCTACATCCTTCTTTGTCAGCCTCCCAAGTAGCTAACCTTGCAGACATTCCCCAATGTGGCCAGCCAGCAGTAGAGTGCCTCAACTGACTAGGTGGGACTTGACACAAAACGTTTTTAAGGGACAGGCTATGAGGCTCACAGAAGAGGTGGTCCTGACCAGTACTGGACAAGGTTGGGAGGGTTAACTCTGGAAGACAGTGACCAAAGATGAAAGGAAGACCTTGTTTGACTTTCCGTTGAAGTAGATGCTTTTACTAGAGAATGTTACTTGTAAGGAGAATGCATACCCTGGAGATAGGCAAAAAGTCCTAGGAATCCTTGCCTAGCCTCAGGAAATGTGCATGTGTCCGGCCACAGCAGCTAGGCTCCTAGAGAAGAATAGGGACGAGGGTCTTAGCAGAGCCTGCGACTCACACCCCCAGTTTTTCCAATCCCCTACCCTTACTCAAACATTCTCTGCTTTGCATTCCTCTTTGCATACACAGCAGTTGTTTCTCTGAGTTCATATCTTTCAAATAACACCTTGCAAAAACGACTAATAGCAACTCACATTGGTTTCTGATATTCTGTTTCTCACATGGATGCTTAAAGCCAAGAATCATTAGATTATGTAATTTTCCTCCCAAGTTATTGCAAGGGCTGTTTTTATAGCTGCTTTACCACTCCATAATGTGTATTTGAGATTCTTCCAGTCTCCAATCTTCATCCACATACTTAGACTTTAGATTCTTTCCCTCACAACACTTAAAAATATTGATTTTTCTTTTTCTGTTCTCACTGCTTTTATAAACTCCCTCACTTTCAAGTCCCATTTACTAGCTTATAAACATGTTCCAATTACAAAAGTAAAATGCATGAAATTTCTTGGATCTTAGAGTCCAGGTACTCATCTAGTAATATACTTCTTGCTTTCACCTTTGTCTCATCAGAAACAAACTTCTGGACTGAGATGACTCGGTGGGAAAAGAACTTGACAGGCAAGGCAAGCATGAGGATCTGAATTCGAGTCCCCAGAACCCATATTAAAGCTGGACACCATGGTACAGGCATGTGTGACTCCAACACTCCCATTAGGAGATTTGAAACAGGAAAACCCCCAGAGTTCATGGGCCAGCTAGCTTGGCCTATGCAGCAGTGAGGAAGAGGCTTTGTCTCAAACATGTTGGGAGGCAAGGAAGGACCAACATCACAGGTTGTTTTCTTACCTCCAAACGTGTGCTCTTGTATGTTCACATGCATGCATACACACCACACACACACACACACACACACACACACACACACACACACACACACACACAAAATCAGCAGCCTCCGCCTTTCTTTCTGCCTTTCGTATACCATAATGCATTCTGATGTTACTTTACCCTGCCCTGTTATGCCGAAATAGCTCTTCATAAGTTTATCAATGACTCTGTATAAGCTAACTGACTGGGCATTTTAAAGTATCTTCAACCCACTGTGACTGGAACACTAGCTAATGCTAAGTGCCACTGTGGAGGTCAAGGAGCAGAGACAAGAATCCTTAAGCTGCACTTTATTTAGAGAGCCAGAAAGCTGAGAAGGCAGAGGGCTAACATCCTAGAAAACTGTCTTCCATCTCGTTAGTATGTAGCAAATCTTTCTCTGTCCCTCCAGCCAGATCCCAAACACAAAGACTTATTATTAATTATTCAAGTTTGACTGATAGCTTAGGCTTGTTTCTAACTAGTTCTTATGACTTAACCCATTCCTATCTATCTATGTGCTGCCCTGAGGCTCATTTACCCCATCTATGTACTGTCCATCCTGCTTTCCTACTTCCTAGATGTCTAGCTAGGGACTCTGCCTTCTTCCCAGCATCCTGTCTGCCTGGAAATCCTGCGGAGCTATTGGCCGGTCAGCTTTATATTAAACCAATCAAAGTGACACATCTTCACAGTGTACAAAAAGATTATTCCACAACACTAGCCAGCAGATTACGTAGGGAAACCAAGCCAAGGACAAAGACAGTCAGTCATCCCAGAGCTCTGTGGGTGTTTAGGCTCAGATGTTCTTGAAACACTGAGCCTAGTAAGTGTCTGTTGGTACCAACCTTGCGCTCCCCCAAGATTGTTACTCGAAGTGTCAAATTCGTGAGATCTAAAATCTCTTAGGAGGTATGCCAGAGGCCATGACTGTAGGGGATTGTATTGATTAGGTTAACAGAAGTAGAAGATTCACCCACTGTGGGTGGTACTCTTCTTTGGAATGGGATCCTGGACTGCGTAAAATGAAGAAAATGGTCTGAACACTTTCATCATTCCCCACTCTCTGCCTGTGGACACAGTGTGACTAGCTCCCTCAGGGTCCTGCTGCCATGACTCCCCATCATGATGGACTGTATCCTGGGACTGTGAGTCAACAACCTTTTTCTCCTTTAAGTTACTTTTGTTGAGGTGTTTTCTCACAGCACAGAAAAATAATAAATACAAGTGGATAACTACGAGCAAATCATTAGCAGCATGGACATATGTTGGAAGACTTTTGCTGATTGGTAGAGGTTGAAGTCTCCTCATGGCCTGGCAGCTTGTCTCAACAGCTTGGCAACATGGGGCTCCCTCCCTCCAGCAGAACTTCCTGCCTCTACCTGCCTTTATGTGGAGAATGTCCCTGGGCCTGAAGGGCTGACCTTATCTGAAAGCTGTCTCTAAACCAGATGCCTGACTTATTTTTAGCTTGAACCCTAGCAAAGATCCTGCTAGAAGGTTCCCTTGCTGCCCATATGATGGCTAAGACTTGTGCTAGGAGCCTTATGATAGGAGCATGCCACTTAATGCAAGTTAGGGTTTGTCCCCAGGTTCCCCAATCCTATATGTTCCTTATACTCTGGAGTAAAGTTGATCTGATTCTCTGGTAAGTCTCCAGGAGGACTGTCTCAGTTCGTGCTCATGGGCCGAGCATACAAAGCTTTCTGTTGCCGCTACTGCCTCTTGCCCTCTCAACGTGGTGGCCGACAGGCCAAGAGAGAAGGAGGATCCACCACAGACATATTAAGCTGTTAATAACATGTACACAGAGATTCCTTTTTACAATGCTGAATACAAGAGGGCCCTTTACAATACAGAATATGAAAACTTCCCTATCTGACCCTTCTATCTCCGATCACGCTTAGACCTACGACACATCCTAGAAGTGTATATTCTTAGTTTTCCTATGGCATCTCTCTTCTCATTCCCTCCTGTGTCTCTCTCTTCACTGTCCCCTTTGTGGACCCCCGTTCCTGTCACCACATACATGAAAGCTGATTGAGGCAACCTTTTTCTTTCTTTTATATTGCACTGATTTATTTATTTGTGTGTCTTTGTGTGTATACATTGTATGTCTTTTCCTGGGGAGACGACTCACCCCAGACAGGAATGCCACAAGACAGGAATGCCACCAAAGTACAGATACCATCAAAATCCAACTTGGTGAACCAATGAGTTTTATTGGGGTTCCTTACAGGAATGTGAGTGGGGGGTCACTTACAGGAGCAGAAATGACTCAAAGACAGCTGTGTCACCAAAGCCCACCCCAGCATGAGTGTCAGCTCACAAAATCTGGGAAACCTGGAGCACAGTGCACAGCTGAAGGCAGCTGAACAGGTCAGAAAGAGTCCTTTCCAAATGGCTCCATTGGTCTGGGTTCCCAGGTAGCTTGGTTAGTCTTTGCTTCTTCTAGTTTGGCTGGCCACAGCTTCTTCCAGGCAGCTGTTGTCTCAATCTTCTTCACAGCTCGGCTTGTCTAAGAGTAACTCTCAGTAGTCTTTATATACTCTTGTGGAGGAAGGAGCCTAGTGAATCTGATCAGTTTCAGGGACTTCCTGAAGCTATTTTGAGTTGTCTACTTCCTGTCTTAAGAAGCATCCTTGCAGGATTGAATGTTTCAATCTTGGAGGAGACTGTTAACAATAGTCTATGCCCTGACATGTGTGTGGAGGCCAGAGAACAATTTGGGGGAGTCATTTCTCTCTTTCGACCATGTGGGTCCAGGGGACGGAACTCCAGTCATCATGCTTGACAGTAAGCACCTCTGCACACTAACTCATCTCACCAGCTCTCATTTCCTTCCTGTTTTCTCTCTTCCCGTGATGCCTTTCACATTCCAACTTCAAGTTCTATATGGAAGAAGTACCCACATTCACCCATCTCCACCTCGGCCCTCATTCTTTTATCTAGTTCTTCATTTGACAGATCCCAGAAAAAAAATATTTCTACCTGTCCAAAACTTATCTCATAATCTTGTTCCTCTGTGACTCCACGGTTTCAAATCATAGTTGCCAGACCAAAGCACCAGCTATTGCCAGAGACTGGGGAGTCATGAGAGATGTAAGTTCGTGGTCTTCAATCCAGATCTGCGGAACTAGAACCTGGACAGAGAGAAGACAGCAATCTGTATTTTTTCAAAACCCCTATGTAACTCAGATGCACAGCAAAATTTGGAAACCACAGGACTGTGGATAATTCACCCTGTGTCAGTCACAGCAGAGACTTGATCCCTGGAGGTCATAGTGACACTGGTTTCTTCCAAGCAGAGAGCTGACATTCTAAAGGACACAGAAGAAAAAAAAGTTCATTATTAAATACAACAAATACCCTGGAATAGGAGGGTTCAATTCTGCCTCAAAAGTGGTTGAGAAGAGTTCATCTAGAATAACCTTCCAAGTTTCTCTTCAAAGTTAAACTTATATGACTTAACCCAGGCTTTTTGTAATAATCCATCCAACACAGCAACTCTCAAATATAATTGGTTTCTGCTTAAAATATGTTTTCACTTTACCTTTATTGTGTGTGTATACAATGATCCTATTTCAATAACAATGAAAAATAAAGTATAATTCATACTAAGAATTGGAAGCTACAATGTGCTGAGGACATTCAAAATCAGTCCAGCTTATCCATCTAATCACAAGTACAAGCTCTCCCCAGGACTGGGATGTTAACACTTGGTTCTACTTTAATTACCTTCCGTTTCTAGGACACTCCAGATCAGTAGCATCTCCACCCTAATGCTTGGACTTTCCTGGTGTCTGGCTGTGTACTGCAGAACAGGGGGCAGTCTCCTTGAGGACCCATAGCCCCACAAAGCCATAAACCATCACAGGACAAAGTTGTTAATAGCAGTCTAAGTCAGCAAAGCATAAATCATCCTACCAGAATAGCCAAGTTTTAAATAAACATGACTGACTTCCAGAATGATCCAAGTGCCCAAAACGTAATGCATTGTTGTATACTTATTTTTTTTTTCTCAGCAAAGAATCACTTTATTCTTTCAGCAGAAAAAAGTATCTGGTTACGAGAAAGGGAACTAACAATCAATGGTATTGATGCCTTTTGTGTCCATTTCAATGTAACAGGCAAGATGTAGGGTATGCCTGCTTACCACAGGAGAAAATTGATTAGAGCATTCGATGTAGCAATATAAAAATAAAACACAGATTAAACGATACATTATGAAGGATTGATTAGTCCTGGAGTCACTTGAGGCAGTTTCAAGGAATGCAGACTGCAAACCCTGTAAACTGTGAACACGCCAACATAGTGTCATGAGTGTTGTGGCCCAGGCACCCACATGCAAGTTTCTCGGATGCTTGTGAGAAATCAGTTGAGTTGCATACATACCATTACCTTAAAACTCCAAGTGGGAGGAAATTTCATCTTGACCTGTACGGAGAATTCCTCCTGTGTGGAGTATCAGCATTGCACGAAGCCTTGGCCACAGAGTAGAAGGTGAGCTGAGCGACAGGAACACCAGCAGCCAGGAAAGCTACACTGGAGCTGCCTGTGCCAACGTGCTGAGTAAACTTCGGGGAGGCAATCGAAGATGTCACCTCCTAAACTGAGTCTTGAAGGCTGCGCGAGAAGATTCTTCTAGGCACCGGAGACAGAGGCGGACTCCAACCATGAGGAAACAATTTGTACAAAAAACACATTTGCCAGTGGTAGCAGCTATCAGGTAAACCAAGAAACAAGGCACATCATCACTTACAGTCTTCCAGTTGACCTCCATTTAGCTTTCACAAGCTGACACAGCATTCGTGAAGCAACCGCAAGTCTAGACAGGGCTGTCCTATAGTATGTATTAGGTGTGAATTTGACAAATGTATTAGTGAGGCACAAGTGCACCCCTAATACTCATGTGTGTGTATGAGATCATGCATATGTGTTGTTTTACTGGTGGCACAGAGGCTGCACCTGAATCTACTGCTGTCTCAGCTACCGACTGCAGCTCTGCAATGGCTGACCGCTACTCAGGCTAAGGTCTGGCAGGAGGACTTCTACCTATGTCCCGCCACTGCCACCAAATTTTTCTGTAACTAGGTCTCTATTATTCTTTATTTTACCAATAAAGACTCAGGACCCAGATGCTGGGGTGAAAACCTGCTAGCTCAGAGAGGCAGAAAAAGCACGTAGCTGCTTCCTCTTTTACTGCCTTCCAACAAAGAGAGCTTCTCTTCCGCTATCCCAAACCAAAAAGGACCACCAAACTCAAAGTCCCTCCCTACTACTTCCTGTGTGTCTCTCTATCCATCTCCCTTACTTCCACTCACTCTTTACGGCTTTTTTTTTCTGTCAACTGGTCACTTGCCCTGCCTGTTGATCTCTGGTTGATTTTATTTAATCTTTTAAAGGGGTGTGATAGGACTGAACCATGCCACAACTAGAAACAGGTTTTTCCAGTAAATAACGCAATCTCAGGGTTCACAGTGTGATCAAATATCCTGCAACACATATGAGCACATCCAGGAGCTTCAAAGGAAGCAATGGTGTGCATGGGCTTTGTCAGGGTCCCTGGCTAGAAGTATCATCAGCTGTCCAAACTCTACAGGAACTTTTCGTTCTCTCCCTGGCTCATAAGACTGTGGTTCAAGGCATTACATCATAGTTGGGATTCACATGCACCAAGGTAGCTACAAAAACCCAGTTTCTAAAAGTACAACTCAGAGCAAGCCATGTCGTGAACCAGCATCAGTTTGCTTGAAGCCTTTAGTCTACTGTCCAGAAGTGAGCTACGTGCCACTGTGGGGTTCCGTGAGTCCTCGCTGGGTTGGTGAAGATTCCAGGTACAAAGTCTTTGAGTTTATACTGATTGACTGCCTCTCTAAAATTGTCAGAAATCCTGACACAGTAGGTCACCTGAAGGGTCTACAAACACAAGGAGATATGTGGGCTTCCACCTGCAAACCAAAGGGATTGTGATCCTCGAAAGAGCCACACCCGTTCTACCACAGTTTGGAAGTCTTTTCACGGAAGCTGGGGGAAGATCATCAGCTACTCTGTTGCAATAACATTTTTATAAAATTCATAGTTAATTATGTAGAGTAGTCATGTCTACATAAAGGTGTTTAAAAAAACCAGACTACACATTGTCTCATGAATGCTTTGTTGAATTTACAAATGCTAAAATACGGCAATGTCTGAAAACCCTGACAGTGCATCTTGTTTCTAATGATAACCTTTGCTTTGCTTTATTTTATTAAAAATTAAATGTCAGTCTTGAGTAACACAGCTAGGGAAAGAGAGGCTGAGCTAAGAATAAAACCTTTTCACTAAAAAATTATTTTTCAAGACAAGGTTTCTGTGTGTGACAGCCCAGGCTGTCCTGGAACTTATTTTGTAGCCCAGGCTGGCCTCGAGCTCACAGAGATCTGCTTGCCTCTGCCTCCTGAGTGCTGGGATTAAAGGTGTGCGCCACCGCCCAGCAAAACCTGATTTTGTATTGTTACGTTTTTAGCACCTTCAACATTTCCATGATAAAGACTCATTGTAGTAAATCATACACAATATATACATACTTAAACATATTCAGACAGCTAATTTCCTTGTCTTTTCAAATGTTGCTTTAAATCCTTGTCTGGACATTCAAGTAAGAATATGGATGGAAACATGTTCCAGTTTCAAAGTGCAGTTACCACTCCTGAGTGCTAAGGATTATTAAAACATGGGGCTTCGGTGTGCTCATCTATAAAGTGCAAACAATATTTACACAGCATGGCGAGCCTGCACCATAAAGTGTTGATGCGAAAACATAGTTCTTATCCCAAATGGAGCAAAACAGTTTTTTTTCTTGAGCTAAATATAAGTGGCCATGGGTCAGGCACAGATTCAGATTGCTCCAAATAGCACATCTCAAGATGGAACAGATTCCCTTGTTTGTCTACATACATTTTTCCCCCTTTGGTTTTTCGAGACAGGATTCCTCTTGTAGTTTTGGTGCCTGTCTTGGCTCTCGCTCTATAGACCAGGCTAGCCTCGAACTCTGGCTCCGCTGGGATTAAAGGCGTGTGGCCACTGCCGCCATTCCCTTGTTTGTATAGTTAGGCAACACAAAGTCATAAATCAAAGGATTTCTTTTCCAAATATATTGGCGGGGACAGCAGGTGAGAAGTTTACAGTAATGTGGAGAAAACTGTGGAGCTTTGGATGTTATCTGATGACATAGCTTGGCTTTGGGTTAGCAGAAGCTTATCTGATACGTTTACCCATTCCAAAAGCTTTACCTTGTAGTCAAAATGAAGTCAGAGTTGGGCAGTGAGTAGGCTCTTAAGAGAACTAAAGACAATCCTACTGAACCTTGGCTCTGGATTTGCAACTCTTCATAGTCAGGAAGTGAGAATCAACTAGGAAGCCTTGAAGAACATTTAACTTTGGTGTGGCTTTCTTGGTGCAACTACATCACACGTGGGTCAAGAGGGTAATGAGTAGCATATAGTAGGTGCATAACCTTCTCCCAATCCACACAATGCAAAATGAATAACTAAAAAGTGGATTACTAAGGATAGAGAATGTTTATCCATTAGTTGTAAAAAAAAAATGGAACCATAAAATAAAACCTGGGAGCAATTTTAAAACTAAACGACTGCACAATATAACAGCACACCAATTTATGGAAATATAAACATAATTTTCTAATTATGTCGTCACTTTGAAAAAGCTCTTCTCATTTTTCAACAGTTCTTAAGCACATAATCATAAATGAAAGCTACACCCAATCATGTATGGCCAAAAGCAATGATAAGCTGGATAAGGTGGCGGACGACTTTAATCTCAGCACTGGGAAGGCAAAAGTAGGTGGCTCTCTGTGAGTTCACAGCCAGCCTGGTCTACAGAAGGAGTTCCAGGCTTGCCAGGGCTATATATTAAGACCCTGTATTTTCACACATTTTTTAAAAAAAGATTTTATTTATTTATTTATTATGTATACAATGTTCTGCCTGCATGTATGTCTGCAGGCCAGAAGAGGGCACCAGATCTCATTACAGATGGTTGTGAGCCACCATGTGGTTGCTGGGCATTGGACTCAGGACCTCTGGAAGAGCAGCCAGTGCTCTTAACCTCTGAGCCATCTCTCCAGCCCCGTATTTTCACACATTAAAAAAAAAAAAAAGGAAAGAGGGGGGAGGGGAGGAACAACACAAACAAAAAGTTGATCCACTGTCTAAACTGCACGTAATCAAACATACCCTATTATATTTGATATGGAGCTAGGTCCTTTTCCCGTTAAAGTAAAATGCTTGGTGTTGGGAGCAGGCTGAAAAGGACAGGGGGGAAAAACTTTCGAGACACAACTTTCTTGGAGCATCCACACCAAGGGAAAGCCGAGACCTCTCTAACCCTGAAACACTGAGGCTTCTCTGAAGAAAATCAAGTGGCCTTTATCTGCCGTTCATTGCTCTTGACCCGTCTACTCCTGCCCTAGGCCACAGAAATTTGCCCTTCCACGGTGACCCGCTGGTGGAAAGAGCACGCGCCGCCTCCACCCTGCAGCTGAAACCCTAAAACCCCGGGCTCGACCCGCCTCAAGCTCCTCCCGCGCCCGCCTCGCCCAAAGCTGTGCACATGCGCGTTCCAAGAGCTCCGCGCCCCCCCCCCACCCCCCTTGGCTGGGTCCGGGGAGTCCAGCTGCCACGCCGCCAGTCTTCCTGCCCTTACTTCAGGCAGTCAGCTTCACGGTCCCATAGTGCGCACGCGCCTGCCCGGCCATTTTCCGCGGGTGAGGCGGGGCCGTGGGCGGGCCCAAGCGGCTCGCGCAGGCTCGGAACATGCGCAGTGCGGCGACTGAGGCGCCAGCTGTCGACTTGGAGGTTCCGGGGGAGGGGCGCATGCGCGAGTGTACGCGTTGCCGGCGAGAGGGCAGCCCGACGACTCGGAAATTTGAATACCACAGTAGCATGGAGTGTGACCTCATGGAGACTGACATCTTGGAGTCGTTGGAAGATCTAGGGTAAGAGCGCGGGGGGCATGAGTGTCTCCAAGTTCACTCGGCGGGAGCCCTCGGGAACTCCTCGGGCGCCCCCGGCGGAGCCACCTGCCTCTCCACGCCGCACCCCGACTCCCGCTGTAGCTTCCCGCTGGCCCTGGGACCCCGGTGCCACGTCCACGCCTGCCCGGCCGGCTGGGCTCGGTCGCCCCACGTCCTCCCCGGTGCTCCCTCCAGCCCGGCTCCCCGCAGCGTGTGCCAGTCACGCGTGTCATTGTCTGGGCTCCGGTTCTCACCACCCCCACTCCCCGAGCCAGCTCCTCTTCTTGCCTCCCCGTCCTCCCACCCTACCCCCCCACTTTTTTTTTTTTTTTTTTGGTTTGCCAAAGTTGTCTCCGCTTTCCTATGTGTCTCCCCCAAGATTTCCCACTCCCGTCTTGAGCGTCTACCCCCACCCTACTTCTCTCTCTCTCTCAAAAAAAAAAAAAAAAAAAATGTTTGCTCAGTCATCTCTGCATGCACCTAGGCTTCCAAAGGCGCACGCCTGGGCGATGCAGCAGTCTCGCTAGCCGGCCCAGCTGTGCACCTAACCTTTCACCACCTGCCTTGGGAATCACCGACAGTGACTCCTGACGCCAGCACAGCCTGCTTCAGAAACTCCAGCATTCCAGGGCCGTCTTCACCCACCAAGAGTCAACATTCTTATTTTCCATCCTGTCTCTCCTCTGATAATTACCCAGTCATAAAAAGTCCTCCGTGTTTAGAACTTTGGAAATAAGGCTTATGTCCTTGGGTCACCCAGATCAAGGTACTCAAATTTGAGAACCTAGAATTTCTTGCTTTAAAAGTGATTCAAGAAAGAACAAGAAAAACGTGGGATTAAGTATTTGCCTGCAGGTAACTACTTGGGGGGGGGGCGGGGATCAGCACAGATTTAGCTAGTTGTTTTTTGGGGGGGTTGTTGTTGTTTGTTTCTTTTGTTTTTTGAGACAGGGTTCGCAATAACCTTGGCTATGTAGATCTGGCTCACTAAGATCCACCTGCCTCTGTCACCTGGGAGCTAGGATTAAAGGTGTGAGCCCCCATGCCCTGCTAATAGTTGTATTTTTAACTATAAATATATATATATTTTATTTATTTTTTTTTAATCAAAGCTTAACTTTTTTTCAGTGGCCTGGACATTCTTAAGAGAAACCTTTTTTTAGGGAAGGACACCTTGAGGTATCTTAAAGTCAACCCATGTAATAGCTTGGTGTGCTACTACTAGGTACTGTTCAGAAAGAAAGCATAGTTTCCTTCTTTCTTTGTTAAAGTGAAGTCACCATTATCATGTCTTTAAAACACGCTCTGTGAATGACCCAGACATTAGGCAACTTAGTCCTGCATTGAGCCATAAGTAAGTCGTATTCTGCAGAATGGGTGCTTTTAAATAGGCGTCTAAGGGTATTTTGCTGGCTCTGTAAACGCTTTTTGAGGGACACTTGCTGTGTGCCAGTGTGGGGCCTCCCTGGGGTGTAAGTTCATGTGGAAGGGAGGTTCACATCACAGCTCTGAGGAGGCTCTTTTCTCGATAAGTAAATGATGCTCTAGAAATGATTGACACTTAAGGTTAGTGTTGAAGGAGTGGATCAAGAAGAGAGGTTCGTTCTGGGTGGGTAAAGGTCAGTTGACCAGCAGCCATGGATGAAATTGCTTCCTATTCTTCTTTTAACTGAATGGTGTTTTTCTTGTCTGGCTTACTATAACTAATTATTCTTGCAACAGTTGCCCTCGAATAAATAGTTGAGGCGAATTGTAATAGAAACCATGGGGTTTTTCTGAAAGTTTAAAAAAATTGTAACTTAGTTTGGCTTCGTTCAAGTATTAAGTCGCCCTTAGTTGATTGATATGTATTTTTAAAGAAGTCACTCAAAATTGCAGTTGAATATTATCTTTTTTCTCTAACGTGGCACACAGTAGGAATTTAGTAGTTACTGTTGAATGAATGTGGAACACAAGGAGAAATTTCTGGGCCTGGGTTTTTAAGTGTCTCTACTATCATTTATTTATTAAGATATGTTGCATTGTGTGTGTGTGTATGTGTGTGCGTATATATACATATATATACACACACATATATACATATATTGTATATATATATATATATGCATGCATGTCAATGTATGCCATGTACATACCTGATACCTAAGAAGGGCAGAAGCAGGAGCCAGATCCCATAGAACTGGATTATATCTGTTGTTAGCTGTCCAGTGCGGGTGCTGGGAACCGAGCCCAGGCCCTTTGTACGAGCAGCAAGTGCTAGCCAGGTGTGATGTCTCACGCCTTTAATCCCAGCACTCAGGAGGCAGAGGCAGGTGGATCTCTGTGAGTTCCAGGACAGCCAGAGATACACGGAGCAACCATGCCTTGAGGAGGGGAAAAAAAAAAAAAAAAGAGCAGCAAGTGCTCTTAACTATTGAGCCATCCCTACAGCTCCCCAACTCCTTTCAATCTGGTTGCAGAATGATGTCTAATTTCTTTTATGTGTATGGAAGATTTTATTCTAATCCATTTCATACATAAGCATATTTTAAAGGAATCTCAACATGTAATTCCTCTACCATACCCATATCTCTAAATACCATGTTAAGCCTATTTAATGTGTCTTTGATAACAGTATTTTTATTCGATATTTCACTTAAAAGAATATAATCTTAAACTGTTAATTTTTTTTTTCTTTACGCTGGGAGTGGTAGTGCACATCTTTAATCCCTGCAAGGAAGAGGTGGGCAGATGCCTGTGAGTTCAAGGCCAGCCTGGTCTACATAGCAAGTGCCAGGATAGATAGGACTAGAGAGAGAGACCTTGTCTTTAAAAAAAAAAAAAAATTACATTTACTTACTTGTGTGCATTTGCGTCGTGTTCTTATGGAAGTCAGAGGCAAGTTTGCCTTGTACCACGTGGGTTCCAGAAATCAACTCAGGTCATCAAGCCTTGGTGGCAAGTGCCTATACCCACCAAGCCATCTCACCTGCCTGACAATATATAACCTAAGATTACTTGATTGACTGATGGATTCAGATCTTGCTAAGTTACCTGGGTTGGCCTCGAACTCTTGATTTCCCTGCTTCAGTTTCCTGAGTAGTTGGTATTACATGTATGTGCCACAGCACCCAGTCCTGATTACTCTTTAATTCTCATGCCTGGACAGCATGAGACCCTGTCTTTAATAATAAAATAAAAAAAAATCAACATATTTATGAAATAAATGATTACTTGGAAAGGTTCCTAAAGCAAATCACCAAAAATAAAATCTAATTGATTTTTGGAAAAAAAAATCTCTAGAGAAAGTAAGTTTTGCTTCTGACATGGTTGTTGTATGAGTACTTACTACTTAACCGGAGTTTAATGCTTAATCCAGTTACAGTACAAAAGTAAACCCCTCCCCTCTTCGGGCAGTGGTGGCACATGCCTTTAATCCCAGCACTCAGGAGGCAGAGGCAGGTGGATCTCTGTGAGTTCAAGCCCAGGCTTGTCTACAGAACGAGATCCAGGACAGCCAGGACTGTTTCACAGAGAAACCCTGTCCCAAAAAACCAAAAAAAAAGGAAAGCAGATCCTGCAGAAGAGCTTGCAGTGAATGTGTAGAAGTTGACATTATCTACTAATTCTTGGTTATGTTCATTAAGTATCTACAGATAATTGTGGGCTTTCCATGGAGAGGGGTTATTTTGTTTGTTTGAAGGGGACACTTTAAGACAGTGTCTCCTGTATCTTAGGCTAGCTTCGAACTGGATGCGTAGTTAGGAATGACCTTGAACTTTGGATCCTGATGCCTCTACCTCTGATGCTAAGATTACAAGCATATGCTGCCATGCCCCGTTTATAAAGTATTGGGATCGAAACCAGGGTTCAGGTGTGCTAGGCAAGCAGTCTCCCAGCTGAGCTGCATTCCCAGCCCTCACGTGTTTGTAGGCTTGAAGTGCAGTCTCCGTTTGGGCTGCTCGTTGGGTTGGCTTCTTTGTTGTTGTTTTGGTTTTTTTTTTTTTGAAAAAGATCTCACTGTGTAGATCTTACTATGTCCGCTAGGCAAAGATCCTTCTCTGTTTCCTTAGTGCTGAGGTTACAGACGTGTTCCACCATGCCCAGCTTGACTTCTTTTTCTTTATTTAAAAATTTTAATTTTTTTCTATGTGTATGG